ACATCATGGGTATGGGATGACTACCACCTACTCCATGGGTATGGGGTGACTACCACCTATACCTTCGGTATGGGGTGACTACCACCTATATCATGGGTATGGGGTGACTACCACCTACATCATGGGTGTGGGGTGACTACCACCTACATCATGGGTATGGGGTGACTACCACCTACATCATGGGTATGGGGTGACTGCCACCTGCATCATGGGTTTGGGGTGACTACCACGTGCATCATGGGTATGGGGTGGCTACCACCACATCATGGGTATGGGTTGACTACCACCTACATCATGGGTAAGGGGTGACTACCACTACATCATGGGTATGGGGTGACTACCAAGCACACCATGGGTATGGAGTGACTACCACCCATGCAATGGGTATGGGGTGACTATCACCTACACCATGGGTATGGGGTGACTGCCACTACATCATGGGTGTGGGGTGACTACCACCTACATCATGGGTATGGAGTGACTACCACCACATCATGGGTATGGGGTGACTATTACCTACATCATGGGTATGGGGTGACTACCACCTACATCATGGGTATGGGGTGACTACCACCACATCATGGCATGGGATGACTACCAAGCACACCATGTGTATGGAGTGACTACCACCCATTCAATATGTATGGGGTGTCTGTCACCTACACCATGGGTATGGCTTGATTACCACCTACACCATGGGTATGGGGTGTCTACCACCTACATCATGGGTATGGGTTGACTACCACCTATATGGGTATGGGGTGACTACCACCTTCATCATGGGTATGGGGTGAGTACCGCCTACGTCATGGGTATGGGGTGACTATTACCTACATCATGGGTATGGGGTGACTACCATCACATCATGGGTATGGGGTGACTACTAAGCACACCATGGGTATGGATTGACTACCACCCATTCAATGGGTATGGGGTGACTATCACCTATACCATGGGTATGGATTGACTACCACCTACATCATGGGTATGGGGTGACTACCCCGTACATCATGGGTATGGGGTGACTACCACCTACATCATGGGTATGGTGTTACTAGCACCACATCATCGGTATGGCGTGACTACCAAGCACAGTATGGGTATGGAGTGACTACCACCCATGCATTGGGTTTTTGGTGACTATCACCTACACCATGGGTATGAGGTGACTACCATCTACACCATGGATATGGGGTGAGTACCACCTACATCATGGGTATGGTGTGACTACCACCAGCACCATGGGTATGGGGTGACTGCCACCTACATCATGGGTATGGAGTGACTACCACCTACACCATGGGTATTGGATGACTAACACCTACGCCATGGGTATCGGGTGACTATCACCTACATCATGGGTATGGAGTGACTTCCACCTACACCATGGGTATGTGGTGACTACCACCTACATCATGGGTATGATGTGACTACCACCTACATCATCGGTATATGGTGACTACCACCTACATCATGGGTATGGGGTGACTACCACCTACATCATGGGTATGGGGTGACTGCCACCTACATCATGGGTATGGGGTGACTGCCACCACATCATGGGTATGGGGTGACTACCAAGCACACCATGTGTATGGAGTGACTACCACCCATGCGATGGGTGTGGGGTGACTTTCACCTACACCATGGGTATGGGGTGACTACCACCTTCATTATGGGTATGGGGTGACTACCACCTACACCATGGGTATGGGGTGACTACCACCTACACCATGGGTATGGGGTGACTACCACCTACACCAAGGGTATGGGGTAACTACCACGTACACAATGGGTATGGGGTGACTACCACCTACACCATGGGTATGGGGTGACTACCACCTCCACCATGGGTATGGGGTGACTAACACCTACACGATGGGTATGGGGTTATTATTGTTATTAAAGATTAGCCGGTATTCTCCCGGCCTGGGCCTTTTCCAAGTGGTGGCCCGGCCTTGGCTCCCTCTTTAGGGAGTGTCTGAGACTTAAGTCTCCCATGGGAGGAGGCACAAGTACCTCCTCATCTTTGGGACCAACTGTCCCCAGGCCTAGCCACAAGCTAGGCCTCTCTGGTCTGCCATCCCCGCCCCAAGGGGGCTAATGGGAATGACAGTCTTATGAGCTAAAGGCTCGAGCTCCGGCACCTACCCTACCCTAGAAGGGCTGGGCATGGTGTCGATCGGGTATGGGGTGACTAACACCTACACCATAGGGGTGTTTGGTAAACTATTCAAAACCACTTGTTTCGTTGTTTCATTACTATACAGACAGCTTGTTGAGGCGGGGAAGAAGGTGAGTCAGTCACTGTGCAGAAAATGGTTACTTGTGGTTAAGTTTCTCGTAACTAAATTACTCATGGCTAAGTTACCCATGGATAAGTTATTCCTGGTTAAGCCAGGTATCCATAGCCAAAATAACAGCTAAGTTACTCGTGGCTAAGTTAATTATCCATGAGTAAGGTGTCCCGAAGTTCGACTGCTGGCGTACTCGGCTCACACACTCAGGTAAGGGGATCAATCTCCTGGTATGGCTGGAAGACATTAGGACCTGTTTCCATAATACACCTGCTATCCCTGTTCACCTATCAGTAAAATATTGGTCGACTGGTGTGGGTCGCATCCTGGGACAAAATTGACTAAATTTGCCCGAAATGCTCAGCATAACAAGCAACTTTCTGCGTAGTAGCATGTCACTGATGTCAACTACGACTGTATACCTTGTACATGTACTTGTAGAATTAAAGGTAATAATAATAATAATAATAATAATAATAATAATAATAATAATAATAAAAATAATAATAATAGTAAGGAGGGGTGTTAATGTTGCAGTTTAAAAACTGTAGTGTAAAGCACCCTTCTGGCAAGACAGTGATGGAGTGAATGATGGTGAAAGTTTTTCTTTTTCGGGCCACCCTGCCTTGGTGGGAATCGGCCGGTGTGATAATAAAAAAAAAATAATAATAAATAAAATAATAATAATAATATAAATAATAATAATAATAATATAAATAATTATAATAATAATAAAAATAATAATAATAATAATAATAATAATAATAATAATAATAATAATAATAATAATAATAATAATAATAATAATAATAATATGGTACCTGCGGCTAAGTCAGTTATTTATGAGTAAGTTAGCGGTGAGAGAGTTGTACTGTGAATGAGAGAGATGTGAGGAATCTGAGGAAAGAGAAAGAATGAGTGAGGGAGTGAATGTTAGTTTAATGTCTTCGTTATGAACCTCCGTACCCATGGTGTGGGCACGAATCACTTCGTACCCATGGTGTGGGCACGAATCACTTCGTACCCATGGTGTGGGCACGAATCACTTCGTACCCATGGTGTGGGCGGGAGTCACTCCACACTTATGGTGTGGGCAGGAGTCACTCCATACCCATGGTTTGGGCGGGAGTCGCTCCATACCCATTGTGTGGGCCTGTGTCACTCCATACCCATGGTGTGGGCAGGAGTCACTCCATACACATGGTGTGGGTGGGTGAGCAGGAGTCACTCCATACCCATTTTGTGGGCGGGAGTCACTCCACACCCATTTTGTGGGCGGGAGTCACTCCATACCAATTTTGTGGGCGGGAGTCACTCCATACCCATGGTGTGGGCGTGAGTCCCTCTATATCCATGGTGTGGGCAGGAGTCACTCCAAACCCATTGTGTGGGCGGGAGTCACTCCATTCTCATGGTTTGCGACGGAGTCAAAAGATTACAGAAGCACATAATGGGTCCAGGGACTGTACCTCAACATTACAGAGGCACATAATGGGTCCAGGGACTGTACTTCAACATTACAGAGACACATAATGGCTCCAGGGGCTGTACCTCAACACTACAGAGGCACATAATTGGTTCAGCGACTGTACCTCAACATTACAGAGCCACATACTGGGTCTAGGGACTGTACCTCAACATTACAGAGGCACATAATGGCTCCAGGTGCTGTACCTCAACACTACAGAGGCACATAATTGGTTCAGCGACTTCACCTCAACATTACAGAGGCACATAATGAGTCCAGGGACTGTACCTCAACATTACAGATACACATAATGGTTGCTTGGACTGTACCTCAACATTAAAAAGGCACATAATGGGTCCATGAACTGTACCTCAACATTACAAAAACACTTAATGGGTACAGGGACTGCACCTCATCATTACAGAGGCACATAATGGGTTCTGGGACTGCACCTCAACATTACAAAGGCACATAATGGGTGCTGGGACTGTACATCAACATTACAGAGGCACATAATGGGTACAGGGACTGCACCTCATCATTACAGAGGTACATAATGGGTTCTGAAACTGTACCTCGACATTACAAAGGCACATAATGGGTGCTGGGATTGTACCTCAACTTTACAGAGGCACATAATGGGTCCAGGGACTGTACCTCAACATTACAGAGGCACATAATGAGTTCTGGGACTGTACCTCAACTTTACAGAGGCACATAATGGGTCCAGGGACTGTACCTCAACTTTACAGAGGCACATAATGGGTCCAGGGACTGCACCTCAACATTACAGAGGCACGTTAGGTAAGACACATATGCAACAGTTAGACAACTTTATTCCGAAACGTTTCGCCTACACAGTAGGCTTCTTCAGTCGAATACAGAAAGTAGGCAGGAACAGTAGAGATGTGAAGACGATGTAATCAGTCCATCACCCTTAAAGTCGACTTTAAGGGTGATGGACTGATTACATCGTCTTCACATCTCTACTGTTCCTGCCTACTTTCTGTATTCGACTGAAGAAGCCTACTGTGTAGGCGAAACGTTTCGGAATAAAGTTGTCTAACTGTTGCATATGTGTCTTACCTAACAACCTGTCGGTATTGTATACCATTTTGATGTTCATTACAGAGGCACATAATGGGTTCTGGAACTGGGCATCACAGTTATATCTGGTTACCTTAGAAAGGAATGTGAGGAAGTGTGAGTGTGAGAGAGTTTGTGAGTGAATAATTATTAGAGAGAGAGAGGCTGTATGAGGGAATGGGAGTGAGTATGAATTAGCTAGCGAACATGATAGTGAGTGAACATGAGAGGGAGAGAGGGAAGGTGAGAGTAAATAATGGAGTCACCTGTGAGGATGGAGAGGAAGGTGCTGAGGATGAAGGTATTTATAATACCAGTGATCCCACTGTAGCAGTACGAGATGTCGTAGACCGTGTGTCCCGACCCTCTGTAAACACATCATTATCATCAACAACATCATCATTATCATCATCATCATCATCATCATCATCATCATCATCATCATCATCATCATCATCATCATAATAATAATAATAATAATAATAATAATAATAATAATAATAATAATAAGTAATAACATTCATATCTTGTGAGCCTCCCATCAACTTATAAGGTTACATTAACATAAAACATCAACACGCTTCCTAGGAAAAAATATTCAATAGTTTTGAGAAACAGAACAATGGTAAATTAAAACAGATAAGCTGAAGGAGGAGAAAAAACGGACGAATCACAGGAAGCAGAGTAGATGGAGGAGGAGAACAAGGTAGTGTTGAAATGTAAGGAACAATAGAATAAGTGGAATGGAATGGTAATTAGTATAACATGTTATGTTAAGCGGATATATCATGATTACTGACAGAGGCTCGAGCAGCCATTACTTCTTGTGCTGAATTATCAACAGGTCTTTGCGTTTCAAATTAATAAGTAATTTAACTCAGCCACTGGTACGGCAGCAGTGGCGAAGGTGAAGCCAACAGTGTCATTGAGGCCACTAGTGAGTACATCGTTGAGGCCATCAGTGAGTACATCGTTAAGGCTGTCTTGCAGTGTGTGGTTGACATTCTCCGGGCAGCCAAGAGTAGAGAGAGGCATCTTCTCTGGGTTCCCGCCACCCCTTGCTAGCTTGCCGATCGCCAACCAAATGTTGAACAGGAAAGCCAGAGAGGCGCCGACAGCGGCACCCTGCAGGAGATGAGAAGACCCTCTTAGTTCAAATTCTCTGTCCATATTTTCCCCTCCTATCGCGCAATGAAATTCAACAACATCTTAAAGGAAGGTAGATTATTATAATTATATTCGCAGAAGGCATGCAGATTCATCGGAACACAAACGATCAAGAACAGAACACATAACACCGGATGCAAAATGCCAAGATTTTTTTTCTTCACCTTTTTATTGACCCAAGGGGCGCAGATGCCTACTAGGAAGATGCCACCAAGGGGACCCTTGATGGCGTTGAGGAGGCCGTTGGTCACTTGAAAGATGGTACCCAGTTCTCCCACCAGCAGTCCTATACATATGGCTGCCATCACCGTCATAGTTGCTGTTATACGTCCACGCCAGAGCGGAAAAAAAAAATGTCACTAGTTACACTTTGTTTTGGCTCTAAAACTGAGCAAGATATCAAAATTATCCTTGAGAGATTCACATTTTTAAGAATTTAAACATCGTTCAGAATTTCAGGACCGTTCGAAACTTCAAGACCATATAGACCTTGAAGATCGTACAGAACTTAAAGACCGTCCAGAACTTTAAGACCGTCCAGAACTTTATGACATTCCAAAACTTCAAGACCGATCAGAACGTCAAAACTGATTAAATCTTCAAGACCTTCCAGCTGCACCACAAATGTCTACAGTGCTCAAGCTCTCTGCCTCCTATACCACCGGCAGGTTATTATTTTGTTCTGTATAAGAAACAGGAAAGAGAGAAAACAAGTGAATTTAGATACCAAACTGCAAAACTTTAGATGAATATAATATTACTATTTATGAGGAGATCTCTAATTTACTGACGTCACGAACTTTTTGTGTTGTTGAATTATAGTTCTTAGCTTGGGTTATAGATTACAGTAGATCTGACCAGAGAAGATTATTTTTTATTCTGTTCTTTTGTAATTGATTAACATTGGTTAACAACATCATCTATAATTTCTAACTTCAGAGCTACATATGCATTACACAAAAACTTGACGATGTTGGTGGAGCGACGTTCACTGAAGTTACTGAAGTAAGGTAGATCCTTCAGAAAGTCCACCCAGATGACACAAGCTATGGCGTTCCCGTGTGATGACAACGAACTGCAGGAATGGAGAGGACACATATCTTACGCTCTTTATGTATAAAACTGCTATGGAGAACAGTCACAGTAGCGTGGCTGCAACAATCTGCAAATAACCAACAAATTTGAAATTTTCAAGGCGATAAATAGTCCATGAAGGACCAATACGTGGTCTGGATTATTTGAAAATGTTTCAGTCAGAATATTTTGACTTCTATTTTAATTAGAACCGTTATATCTCTTAAACAATTGGCACATCACAACTTAAATTGTGAAATGTAGAGTGAGTCAGTCACAGAAGTGTAGATATTTCTGGATACTTGGCCGGAGCTTAACCCAGCAGAAGTGTAGATATGTCTGGTTAGTTTGGCTGGGTTAAAGTGCAGATATATAAAAGATATTGACTCAGCTGCATGGTAGACTTGCTCAAGGACTCAAGTTGTTTTGATTAGTTTGACTGATTTATTATGCACTCCATAAACATTTTTTGGCCAGTTTTCCAAAAATTAAAGAGGCATATAATGAATCCAGCTGTTGGGTCCTATATGACTCTTAAAGCAAAAGCGTAAACTTAATTATCTGTACAGATGTTAGAGCCTCACCTAAGAACACCGCCGTACACAGCTGCCACGAAGAGCCCTGACATGCCCGGCAGATGGTTCAACTTATCTGTCACCAGATAAGGCATGATCTGGTCAGGTTTGCTTATTCTTCCTGAGGTGAAAGGATCACAGTCACTATAGACAGCGTAGGCGACGAGGCCAGAGAAGTAGAAGGTCCCCCACAACAGCAACAGTCCCAGTGCAAACAAACTACAAAGTCTGCAAGAAAAAGGGAAGACATTGGTGTTTGATACATCTTGCAATTTTAGTATTCTCAGATATATAAAAAATCTAAATTGTTTAGAATACTAAATCTCATCTGTGAAAAAAATATAATAAGGTAAGTCCGCTGTAAACTCTTCATTTTGTAAACTTTCCATCATGACACTTTTTTGAAGCCTTCCCTAAGCTAATGAAGTTTTAATACACCTGTGAGCACCAAGATAAGTTTGGCTACTAATATCACCTGTAATTACCTACTTATAATCACATATTTATAGCTAGAGGAGCAGATCGATTTTCTTAGTTTTTCGTCTTCAACAATTTGTTCATCAAATAACTTTTATATTAAAAATTAATAAAAAAATGAAAATAAAACAATTTGCACCTGAGGTGTGATGCCTCACCTCTGACCAGCAGAGTACAACCAGTCAAACACCTTGACCTGAGGTGTGATACCTCGTCTCTGACCAGCAGTCAGAGTACAACCAGTCAAACACCTTGACCTGAGGTGTGATACCTCGTCTCTGAACAGCAGTCAGAGTACAACCAGTCAAACACCTTGACCTGAGGTGTGATACCTCGTCTCTGACCAGCAGTCAGAGTACAACCAATCAACCACCTTGACCTGAGGTGTGATGCCTCACCTCTGACCAGCAGTCAGAGTACAACCAATCAACCACCTTGACCTGAGGTGTGATACCTCGCCTCTGACCAGAAGTCAGAGTACAACCAATCAACCACCTTGACCTGAGGTGTGATACCTCGTCTCTGACCAGCAGTCAGAGTACAACCAATCAACCACCTAGACCTGAGGTGTGATACCTCGTCTCTGACCAGCAGTCAGAGTACAACCAATCAACCACCTTGACCTGAGGTGTGATACCTCGTCTCTGACCAGCAGTCAGAGTACAACCAATCAACCACCTTGACCTGAGGTGTGATACCTCGTCTCTGACCAGCAGTCAGAGTACAACCAATCAACCACCTTGACCTGAGGTGTGATACCTCGTCTCTGACCAGCAGTCAGAGTACAACCAATCAACCACCTTGACCTGAGGTGTGATACCTCGTCTCTGACCAGCAGTCAGAGTACAACCAATCAACCACCTTGACCTGAGGTGTGATACCTCGCCTCTGACCAGCAGTCAGAGTACAACCAATCAACCACCTTGACCTGAGGTGTGATACCTCGTCTCTGACCAGCAGTCAGAGTACAACCAATCAACCACCTTGACCTGAGGTGTGATACCTCGTCTCTGACCAGCAGTCAGAGTACAACCAATCAACCACCTTGACCTGAGGTGTGATACCTCGTCTCTGACCAGCAGTCAGAGTACAACCAATCAACCACCTTGACCTGAGGTGTGATACCTCGCCTCTGACCAGCAGTCAGAGTACAACCAATCAACCACCTTGACCTGAGGTGTGATACCTCGTCTCTGACCAGCAGTCAGAGTACAACCAATCAACCACCTTGACCTGAGGTGTGATACCTCGTCTCTGACCAGCAGTCAGAGTACAACCAATCAACCACCTTGACCTGAGGTGTGATACCTCGTCTCTGACCAGCAGTCAGAGTACAACCAATCAACCACCTTGACCTGAGGTGTGATACCTCGCCTCTGACCAGCAGTCAGAGTACAACCAATCAACCACCTTGACCTGAGGTGTGATACCTCGTCTCTGACCAGCAGTCAGAGTACAACCAATCAACCACCTTGACCTGAGGTGTGATACCTCGTCTCTGACCAGCAGTCAGAGTACAACCAATCAACCACCTTGACCTGAGGTGTGATACCTCGTCTCTGACCAGCAGTCAGAGTACAACCAATCAACCACCTTGACCTGAGGTGTGATACCTCGTCTCTGACCAGCAGTCAGAGTACAACCAATCAACCACCTTGACCTGAGGTGTGTAATTCTCAGTGCATATTCTGTGTCCACATAAGGAATCAATTAATGTATTAAAATAATTTAAGTAATTTAGTGTTTGTTTTCAGAAACACACAAGACTGAGCTTACAGGAATATACTGAGATCATATTGTTATGTTCAGTGAAATAATTATAATAAAAACATCCAAAACAACGAATTCAAGACATCGACACCATGCCCAGCCCTTCTAGGGTAGGGTAGGTGCCTGAGCCCCAGCCTTTAGCTCATAAGACTGTCATTCCCATTTGCCCCCTTGGGGCGGGGATGGCAGACCAGAGAGGCCTAGCTTGTGGCTAGGCCTGGGGACAGTTGGTCCCAAAGATGAGGAGGTGCTTGTGCCTCCTCCCATGGGAGACTTAGGTCTCAGACACTCCCTAAAGAGGGAGCCAAGGCCGGGCCACCACTTGGACAAGGCCCGGGCCGGGAGAATACCGGCTAATCTTTAACTAACTAACTAACGAATTCAAGATAAAGTCATCTCCATCATCCAGGATGTGTTAAAAAATGAAGGAATCTTTAACTTATTTACAAATATGTTTTGAGGTCACTGTGACGTTTGTTTTGAGGTCACTGTGACGCTTGTACACCAACCGATGTCAGCTTCCTAACAAACAAATGTCTTCTTCATTAACCTGCGACTATACTGAGAGTTATAAATAATGTTTACCGATATTTTACTTTAATCCGTATTTAAGGGATTTAAATACATAAATGTACGTACATAGAGTTATGTTCCTTGATAACCATGAAACTAGAGTCGCTGCTTAGTGCACCATGGGATTACATTTTTTTTAGTTATTTTTAAGAAGCTAGGAGCTGTTATCTTATGTCAGGTCATGGTAATACAGTGGTAGAGTATATCCACAGTATACCTGGAGAGAATTTCGGGGGTCAACGCCCTTGCTGCCCGGTCTTTGACCAGGCCTCATGGTGGATCAGGGCCTGATCAACCACAGCCTGGCTGATCAGGTACTGACTTTTTAGGTGTCTGTCCAGAAAGTTCTTGAAGACAGCCAGGGGTCTATTGATAATATCCCTTATGTATCTTGGAGGTAGTTGAAAAATCTTGGGCCCCTGACGCTTACTGTGTTGTCTCTTATCGTGCCAGTAGCGCCCCTACTTTTCATTAGAGGGATGTTGCATTGCCTGCCGAATCTTTTGCTTTTGTAGGTAGTGATTTTCGTGTGCAGATTTGATACTAATCCCACTAGGGTTTTCCAAATGTATATAATCATGTATCTCTCCCGCCTGTGTTCCTGGGAATACAAGTCGAGGAACTTCAACAGTTCTCAGTAATTTAGGCGTTTTATCGTACTTATGTGTGCCGTGAAGGTTCTCTGTACATTTTCTAGGTCAACATTTTCACCTGCCTTTAAAGGTGCTGTTAGTGTGCAACAATATTCCAGCCTAGATAGAACAAGCGACCTGAAGAATGTCATCATGAGCTTGGCATCCCTAGTTTTGAAGGTTCTCATTATCCACCCTGTAATTTTTCTAGCAGATGCGGTAGATACATTGTTGTGGTCTTTGAAAGTGAGATCCTCTGATATCACTCTCAGGTCCTTGACATTAGTTTTTGCTCCATTGTGTGGTTGGAATTTGTTTTAAACTCCGATATAATTTTAATTTCCTCACATTTTCCGTATCGGAGTAATTGATATTTCTCCTCGTTGAACTTCATATTGTTTTCTGCGGCCCAGTTAAATATGTGGCTGATGTCCGCCTGGAGTCATGCAGTTCTTCACTGGAGGACACTGTCATGAAAATTCGGTTGTCATCTGCAATGGAAGACACAGTGCTATGGCTTACATCTCTGTCTATGTCAGATATGAGGAACAGGATGGGAGCAAGTACTGCGCCTGTGGAACAGAGCTTATCACATTAGCCGCCTCAGATTTTACTCTTTTTACTACTACTCTTGTGTGCTATTCGTTAGGAAATTATGGATCCATCTACGAACTTTTCCTGTTATTCCTTTATCACGCATTTTGAGCGCTATTACACAATGGTCACAATTGCCGAAGGCTTTCGCGAAGTCTGTGTATACTACATCTGCGTTTTGTTTCTCTTCAAGAGCATCCAGGACCTTGGCATAGTGGTCCCGTAGCTGGGACAGGCAGGAGCGACCTGCTCTAAACCCGTGTTGCCCTGGGTTGTGTAACTGATGTGTATTTAGACGAGTAGCGATCTTGTTTCTTAGAACACTTTTATGATATAGGATGTTAGTGCTATCGGTCTGTAGTTCTTTGCTGTTGCTTTACTGCCACCTTTGTGGAGTGGGGCTATGTCTGTTGTTTTTAGCAGCTGTGGGATGGCCCCTATGTCCATGTTAATATAACACATAGACTAACATCCAGGATTTTAGTTACTGCAATTTGAACATAAGTGATAATATCAGAAGTGTATATATATATCTGAAGTGTATATATCAGAAGTGTACATATCAGAAGCATATATATCAGAAGTCTACATATCAGAAGTATATATGACAATTATATATTTCAGATCTAAATTGTCTTTTCGTAACTTGAAGACAGTTGTGTAATCAATAGTTTACTTAAATCACATAAAGAATCCTTCACAAGAAAAAATATAGAAATAAACTAAGATTTATTCTCGAGAACTGAGATTTAATATTTAACTTACGCCTGGGAGAGGCTGAGAGTTCTGACTGAGATGAATCTCTGGAACTGAGGTTGGTTGAAGCCAGCCATGCTGAGTGCCACGTAGGCTCCCTGGATCTGAGTCGACCAGAAGGTGTGACGCACGAAAGGACTCGGGTCCATACTGCACAGGTAATAGGCAAGAACAACTTGTGTAAATCTAATATTTCACGATGAGAATAAAACAGAAGAGTATGAGGCCGACTTACACAGTATGAGTCCACAAGGAGACAACTCCCAAGAGACGTTTTCTGAAGAAGGCCTCAGTGTGAAGCGAAATATACAAGAAAAAAAAAGATAAATTCTTTTTGTTTAATGTCATCATGTTGGTTTATTTGTACTAATGACCAGTGTTTATTATACTTTTGAGTTTAGAAGCTTATACATAAGTCAAGATATACACTGCACTCCTCACTTAAAGAATTCAAGTCTCCCTCCTTGTCCGGCGATTGTCCACACGTTGGCAGGTCCTCCCAGCTGTTGGCAGCAGATCACAGACACCACCAACACTCCAACGAACATAAGCAGTGTTTGTACCACGTCTGCGTACACTACCGCCTTCACTCCGCCCTGTTATAATTATTTTCATTATTAGCATCCTAAATAGTCATGATCGATAATATACAAATTGTAAGTGACCTTGACTCTACACACACAATATCAATGGAGGCGTCCTTGATATATGTCTTGGCTTCAACATTACCTGTCATCTGCGAGTTTTCCATTGTAACATATTTCATCAGACCGCTTCCAAGATTAACCACTGTCAATATCGGTAATAATTATCCTCCCTGGTGGAATATTCAGCTGTAAACATGTGTATATTTTACATGACCAGCATAACTGCTGCTGCCGCTGCTGCTGGCGCTGCTGCCGCTGCTGCCGCTGCTGCCGCTGCTGCCGCTGCTGCTGCCGCTGCTGCCGCTGCCGCTGCTGCTGCCGCTGCTGCTGCCGCTGCTGCTGCCGCTGCTGCCGCTTCTGCCGCTGCTGCCGCTGCTGCCGCTGCTGCCGCTGCTGCCGCTGCTGCCGCTGCTGCCGCTGCTGCCGCTGCTGCCGCTTCTGCCGCTGCTGCCGCTGCTGCCGCTTCTGCCGCTGCTGCCGCTGCTGCCGCTCTGCCGCTGCTGCCTCCGTCATCGCTGCCGTTGGTTCGTTGCTTGCTAAGCAAGGATGATGACTGAACCATTCTTTTCAATGAATTTGAACTAAAGGTAAATCTACTTTCCGTGGAGAGGATGGTATTAGTTACGATGTACTCAGGCTGCTCCGTCAAGTACCAGTTACATGAACTATACAACTTCAGCTATGTAACTGGACATCTCCCAAAATGTTGAACCAATAGTCTCCTCATTTCCATTCCAAAACACAATCAACAAAATTTATTTAGCCCAAAGAAAGATTGTTATGTGTATTACGCAGTGTATTGTTGAATATGTGTATAAAAAACTCCATATATAATGTCAGTTTCCAGGATTTGTTCTGAAACCGGACACGTATTAGTCCTGAAGAGAAGCCAGGGCAGGACAGGAGCAGGTGAGGTGTTTTTGAGTCAGTACGAGAACAGCGGCGGCTGGAACAAGTCGTCATGGTGTTACTAGGGATGGTAAGTTTGAATAATTTTATGCCATAGGTTATTTTATTGGTTTTGGTGCTTTCATGTTTATCTGTGAGGCCCTAGTATGAGGAGAGGCCCTAGTATAAGGAGAGGCCCTAGTATGAGAGGCCCTAGTATAAGGAGAGGCCCTAGTATAAGGAGAGGCCCTAGTATGAGAGGCCCTAGTATAAGGAGAGGCCCTAGTATAAGGAGAGGCCCTAGTATAAGGAGAGGCCCTAGTATGAGGAGAGGCCCTAGTATGAGAGGCCCTAGTATAAGGAGAGGCCCTAGTATGAGGAGAGGCCCTAGTATGAGAGGCCCTAGTATAAGGAGAGGCCCTAGTATGAGGAGAGGCCCTAGTATAAGGAGAGGCCCTAGTATGAGGAGAGACCCTAGTATGAGAGGCCCTAGTATCATGTGGGGTTCGAACACGTGGATAGGGTAAAGAAATACTCACGTAGGCTGGAAGTACGTATATTACGGATAATGTGGGAAGCGCCAAACAGCCGGCCTGCCTCTCTGCTCTCTCACGTAAGACTAGGCTCTAGTATGAGGGGAGGCCCTAGTATGAGAGGCCCTAGTATAAGGAGAGGCCCTAGTATGAGGAGAGGTTCTAGTATGAGGAGAGGCCCTAGTATGAGGAGAGGCCCTAGTATGAGAGGCCCTAGTATAAGGAGAGGCCCTAGTATGAGGAGAGGCTCTAGTATGAGGGGAGGCCCTAGTATGTGAGGCCGTAGTATGAGGAGAGGCCCTAGTATGAGGAGAGGCCCAAGTATGAGAGGCCCTAGTATAAGGAGAGGCCCTAGTATGAGGAGAGGCCCTAGTATGAGGAGAGGCCCTAGTATGTGAGGCCCTAGTATAAGGAGAGGCCCTAGTATGAGGAGAGGCTCTAGTATGAGGGGAGGCCCTAGTATGTGAGGCCCTAGTATAAGGAGAGGCCCTAGTATGAGGAGAGGCTCTAGTACGAGGGGAGGCCCTAGTATGTGAGGCCCTAGTATAAGGAGAGGCCCGTTTAAGTTTTGGGGAGAGTACTGGTGTAGTGTGTTGCCTGCAGGCTGAGAGGCCGGCAGAAGTGAGGGGGGGGGGTCATGGAGCCTCTCTGTTATAAATGTTATTGTTTGTACTCGCTAGCAGCAGTGAGTACTGAGTAAAGGTGTACTGGTGTGTGCTGATTTTATATGTAGAGTAGGTTGTATGTTGTATATCTTAATTTACTATTGATTAATGTGAATATATATATATATATATATATATATATATATATATATATATATATATATATATATATATATATATATATATATATATATATATATATATATTGTACAGGTGAGTTTTTGTGTCCTTCCTTCATTGGTCATTTAAATTAATACTTCATAATTTGTGTTAAGGAACAAACTGGTCCTAGGTTTATGTGGGGTAATTTAAATGCCCCTAGACTAGGTAGGTTGTTTACTCCTAGTAGCCAGGACTTTTATTTACATTACACAGTAAAATGCTATAAGAATTATAAAAACTATATATAAGCTACAGTATATATACCAGCATATATAACAAATTTTTTTTATAGTGGACCTTTGGAAATAAATGGTATAAAATACCCACACAATGGAAATATAAACACATATGCAGTATAATGTGATCCTTTATTGACAACATTTCGCCCACACAGAGGGCTTTATCAAGTCACAGATCACCTAGGTAGATCTGTTTGTGACTTGAAAAAGCCCATCTGTGTGGGCGAAACGTTGTCAATAAAGGATCACATTATACTGCATATGTGTTCATATTTCTATAGTGGACATTTACCCTAGCCAGCCTACCAGGAGAACAGTTTAAGTGTACCTGGAGGAAAGATTGTTATGGTATACTGAACTATACATAATCTAAAAAAAATATATATCAAACTACAGTAGATATACCAACATATAAAACAAAATTCTTTTATAGTAGACCCCTTACCTTAGCTAGCCTAATAGAAAAACTGTGAAGGTATACCAGGAAGATTGTTATATGGGATACTGAAACTATAAATTATCTAAAAAAAGTATATATATCAAACTACAGTATATATTACCATCATGCAAACCTGTGTAATTTGCGGCATGAGTAACAGGTGAGGTATTGCTTGGATTGTATGCAGTCTCTGTGGAAAATGGTCCCATGGGTCGTGTATGGACCTTAAGCAACTAGCCATCATTGATATTAAGTCAAGAAAAATGTTTTTGGTTCTAATCAAGAGAGAGGCACCTTTGGGAGATAATTACATCTTTACTAAAAGACAGGAACACTAACCAAAAAAATATCCTTAGAAAACATGACAGTCTTGTATAACAGCTGGGAAAATAAAAGGAGTGGGGCAGATGGGGCTGTCACCCCTGGGGCTGGTGCTGTCTTGGAGGACAGTACTTGTAAGAATACAGACATGAAAGTCAGTGCAGCAGATGGTGCTGGTATTGTCTTGGAGGACAGTGTACTAAATGGAGATAGTAGCTCTGGTGAAGAAACAGGTGAAGACAATGCTATACAAATTCTAGAGGTACAAGATAGCACTATTGCTGGAGATGGAATAAAAGGGGATGATACTTTGGGGAAGAGTGTCGATACATTACCAGAAAAAAACTGGTGGAAACACTGATGTCAGTACAGTGGCTGTAGGTAATAGTGAGACAGAAAAAATGCACCAGTAAGGAATGCAGCCCTCTAAAAATCCTAAACAGAAATCAAATCTTTGCAAAATTCTATGCCTTGGGTATCTGAAGGCATGGAATATCTGGAAGAACAGGTGGGTTGTACAATTCTGAACATCCCAGAAAATGCCGCACACACTTGACAACAGGAGAATGCATCTCTTCCTGTATTTTTTCCACCCTGAAATGTGCGGCTCTTCAGTCATGGATAGACAGTGCTACAACCTATATTTTCAGGTGCGCTACCTAAAAGAGACAAAAAGATACGGATCACCCTTATGGAAAACAAACCAGGGGAGCCATAGCCACTCGAGAGACCAAGGTGTTTTAGTGCTAGGAAAAAAATGGCAAGAAATGAGTGTTTCAAACTCAAAACACTTCTGGAGTGGAGGCACAGTCTTTGGCCTCCACTACAGAACAACAGATATTAATGCCAACAAAGCCTTCCTTACCATCAACACCACAACATTTATCTTGACAAACCTACAGGGTCTAAAGCTATCAACAAACTACAAAATACCTTTCATCAAAGGACTGCTCATGGAGTCAAAAGTAATGTTTGCAACTCTCACAGAGACCCACATAAAGGATCACTTTGACAACGAAACATGAATCCTAGGTTATAACCTATTCAGATGAGACAGAGTAAACAGGCAACAAGGAGGGGTTGGCCTGTATGTCACAGAGTTGCTTATATACTTGGAACTATTAAACACCTCAAATGATGTAGTTGAAGTTTTGGCAGTAAAAATTGAAAACCAAAACCTTGTCAGTGTGGTTGTAAACAAGCCTCTGGGTGCTACTTCCTAACAATTCCAGGAGCAGCTTTTCAAAATTGACTGCTATCTGGTTAATCTCCCAACTCCTGCCCCAAACATCTTGTTGCTGGGTGATTTCAACTTAAGACACCTAAAGTGGAAGAATGTAGCAAATAATGTTTCAGCAGAGATAACCCCAGGAGGCAGCTCAGCCGAAAATTCCCACACACATGAGCTATTAAATCTCTGCAACAAATTCACTTTAAAACCAGCAAATAAAAGAGCCAATAAGACTTGAAAGCACAACAGACCTCATCTTCACCAACAATGATGATCTGATACGGAACATAACAGTGTCAAAGACAATACACTCGGACCACAACATAATAGAGGTACAGACGTATGCGCAGGGCTCCTGATCAGCAAAAGGTGACCATATATGATGGTGCCTTCACCTAATTTAACTTCAATAATAAAAGCATACAGTGGAACCAAGGCAACAATGTCCTAAATGAAACAAGTTGGACAGAT